TCTACAGATTGGCAAATGTGCTTCCTACCACAGATTGTAGATGTAGTACAGATTTGCGTCTGCTCTTTCAAAGATCCGTACATGCCACTACCTCGCTCTCCCCCTCGAGCAGCGTCTCACAAGCAGTCGCTTAGGTCGCTGGGCATGGGATCAAATGTAAGCAGGCGATCCAGCGAGCGCGGTGCTCGATGCCATCGCACCACGGCGGCGGCAAGAAACCCGCTTGCCACGACTGCAGAGAGGATGGTGGTGGACAGCCTTCCGAAAACTGGGGTGCCTTCGCTAACGAGGACTGTGGCGTCAGCTTTGGAAGAGAGCAGCGTTGGCAAGGAGCCACTGATGGCAAGGGCCGCCCCGTCGAACAAGTTGTGCGCCTCGGAGGACTCGTTTTGGGTGTCGGAGGACATGTTCAGGGACTTGTTTTGAGTGCTGGAGGATGTGTTCAGGGACTGGTTATGGGGCCGGAACTTAGTGGCGTCCGAGAGCTTCCCCACGTTCGGCTGGTAAACGTTGATTGGAGCCCTATCGCACACGTCGCCAACCGCCCCGCCCGTAGTGCCAATTGCGCCGACCCTGATGTTGCTGAACTTGACGTAAGCATCAGGGCTGCTCTTGCGCACTTGCTCTGGGCTGCCCTTTCCCGGCTGGCACGTGCCTCGCTCGGCTCCCAGGTCGGTGCTCTTTTGGGGGTAGGTGCCGTCGAGCCAGTCCATGTCCGCCCCCGAGGTGTCGTCCCAGATGCTCATGACGAGAACCATGCCGCGGTCCAGGGCATCACCAGTAGCTTTCAGGCCGCCCCTGTCTTGGAAGTCCGCGGGGTCTCCAAATGTAGTCTTCTGCTTCTCGCAGAAGTCGTCGGTCATGGAGGATGCGGACTCGTCGACCAGAGAAGGAGAAGGGATCTCGATGGTCTTGCCATTTTGCTTGTACGAGCGCCTAATCTCGACCAGCTCACCCTCGTCCGTCCCGTCGCTCGTCAAGAACTGCGTAGTGACCGTCATCGGTTTGGTGGTGTCGACCTGGTAGTCCGCCCCAGGCCCGAAGAAAGTCTTGTTCCCGAGCCGATAATCGTTCCAGTCGCAGCCGTCCCTGTCGCACTTCCCGAGTGAGCGCGACGAGTCCCCATGGCTCCCAGGGCCGCACTCCAGCCCGGAGCACTTCTCGGCACCGGGATTCGAGCAAGTGTGCATCGAGAGCGCGGCCGAGCGCATGTTCGCCTCGAAGATGTCCACCTCCGTGCAGCAATATCCGAGATCCCCTAGGGGAACATTGGCCGCTCCCGCTATGAACTTGCCATCCAAGAAACACTGGGCGTCGCAATAACCCGTGCCAAAGTGCGCGCCAGCTCTGTTGTTGCCTACACCTATGTCACCGTTCGCGGACATCTCGACCAAGTACAGAGCACCGTTGATGCCGCACTCCAGTGTGCTCAGGTCGACATCGAAAGTAAACTCCCGATTCTTGAGTTTAAACATCTTGTACTCGTTCCCCTGCATTACGTACACGCGGGAACCAACGTTGGTTCCGTACTCGTTCTTCGTGATGAACTTCAGATTCAGCGCGCTTCCCGAGGTCGTGATGCCGTACTGGCTCTGGTAGGCTGCCGTGTCCTGGCCCTCGAGCTCACACCCAGTGGCGCACGCGGCTGGATCTTGACACTGCCAACCATCTGCATAGCAGCTGTCGAACCCGCCCTTTTTGTGGAGCCAGCGCCAGTTCGCGTCGATCGTTATCATGGCGTCGTCCTGGCAGCCACCCCCGACGCAGTGAAGAAATCGCAACGACTCGAAGCTAAGAACACGACCAGAACTCCCGGCCCCACGATTGTGCCGGATCTCCTGCCCAGCTTCACCGATGAGTGTCTCGGGCCTGGAACCTCGGCGGAACCGAACATCGTGCCAGGGATGGCGCTCCGAGAGATCAGACGTCGCGCCTACTCCGAGAAATCGCACGCCCCCCCCACACGAGTCCCCTGCAAAAGAGCGACCCGCTGACGTGTCCAGAGGCGCATTCCTGACCACAGTTTCCAAACGACTCCAGCCGTGGCGACGAGAGCGCGCCAGGACGCCCAGCAGGGATGAGGAACATCAAATTCTCATCCTCCCCCTCCTCCTCCTCCTCCTCCTCCTCCTCCTCTTCCTCCTCCTGCTCCTCCTCCTCTTCCTCTTCTTCTTCCTCCTCATCCTCATACTCCTCCTCCTCCTCCTCTTCTTCTTCCTTCTCCTCTTCTTCCTCCTCCTCCTCCTCCTCCTACTCCTCTTCCTCTTCTTCCTCCTCCTCCTCCTTACCCTGCGCTCCGTGGTAACAAGCGCCAGGGGTATCCCTGACGGGGGTCAACGTCGCCTGGCCGGAGCACCGCGCCGCGTGCGTTGGAGAGCCCCTCTGCGCGCGGCGGCTGTCGGCCACGCAGATCGATCTGGGGCCTCCGAGGAGGATGGCGCCTCGGCACACTGCTGTGGAACTTCGAGCGAAGTCGAAGTCTCGCAGAGAGGACCCTGGCGTAGCCTCCGAAGCCCCCTGTGGGGGGCCTCCTTTGCGTGAAGTCGGGCGTGTCCCCCTACAGGGGGGTTTTGGACGACTAAAAAATAATGAAAAGAATACCCCAAAATCATCAACAGATGCTCAAAAAAATCGTCCCCCGACCATTTTTTTGAGTATTTTTGAATCTTCCTCCTGCAGAGGGACAGGCCCGGCCGAACCTTTTGCGCCCAGGCGCGCGAGGAACCGGCCAGGGAACCCCCCATGCAGGGAGCGCCGGAGAACGCCAGAGGGGCCCCGGCTGCTCCCCAAAAGCGCGGCAGGAGCGCCCGGGAGAACGCGGCGCCGGCCCTCTGGCCCAGACCCAGAGATCCGACGTCGTGATTTTTTCAATGGTCCCCCGAAGTGTCGACCCATTCCCCAGGACCGGATTCTCATCCCGAGTCGTTTTTTGACGGTCCTGGGGCCCGGCGAGGGTCCCTAGACGCCGAAAATCGAGAAAAAACCCTGTCTTGATTTTTTCAATACGTTGGAGGTCTGGGTCCCCAGACATGATCGCGTCGTGAAAAAAAACGGGGCGTCCAGCTTTTCGCCATGTTCGGCCCCCGGGGGCCCTCGCTGGGCCCCGAGAGCGTCCAAGAACGACTGAGGATGGAAAAGCGGCTCCGGGGAAAGGGTCGGGACTTCCGGGAACGCCGTACTAGAAACATCAAAACGTTGCATGCCTGGGTCGAGCCCGCGATGAAGCCCGATGCCCGCCCGGGCCAAGGGAGTCGAGCGAGCAAAATCTGCCCATGGGCTTCTCTGTCAGCGCCAGGCCCGACAACAGGCCCGAGGGGAGGCGGGTCTCGGGGGCGAGGAGGCCTTCCCCCCAGGGAGGCGAGGCGAGAGAAGGCCAGACGCGTCTACCCAGTGCGGGCACTGCAGAAGAATTCACTGGGATAAGGAATCCAGGGTCTGGAAGCCGGCGGAGCTCCAGTCGTGGATCGGCCACGGGTATCACGGCCGCCCTCGCCAGAAAAGGACGCCCCCCTGGGCCTCTGGAGGCTCCCGGGCACGCCCTGGAACCGCCGATACGCCCCCGCCGCAAGCCCTGGCCCCCTCACCTGGACTCGCGGGGGCGGAAGACAGATCCGCACCCACGGCCTCGCGGGCCGAGCCCCCGGGCCGGGGCACACTGGGGCGCGGGGCCGCGCGAGGAACGCCTCCGCAGGCGACCGCGCAGCCGCGGGCGCACGCCCCCGAAGAGCTCGCACCGCGCGGGCGCTGGCAGGGGGCACGCTATCGCGGCTCGGGGCGGGCGGCGGCGAGGGCTCGCCGGAGGGGGGCCCCTTTCAGAGATGCGACGTCGTGATTTTTTGAACATGCGCGGTCCCCCGAAGTCTCGACCCATTCCCCAGGACCGGACTCTCATCCCGAGTCGTTTTTTTGACGGTCCTGGGGCCCGGCGAGGGCCCCCAGAGGCCGAAAATAGAGGAAAACCCCCGTCTTGATTTTTTCAATACGTTGGAGGTCTGGGTCTCGAGTCCTGGCAGCAGCCCTCGCTCGAGCAGCCCAGCAGCTGCAATCGGGGGTGGTTCTCCGGCGACACGCTCCCCGGCAGCTGCGCGCCGGCCCCGCGGAGCAGGGCCGCGGCACAGGCGGCGGCGGGCCCGCGCCCCGCCATGGGGGAGGGGCAGACGGGGGGAGGACGGGGCGGGCGGGCGGGGGACAGGGGGCCCAAAAATCCACACCACCACCACCTCCCTCCCCCCCGCCCTCTCGCTGGAATAAGAGGCGAGGGGAGGAGCCGACGCGGTGGTGGTGTGTGTTCTGTGGGCCCCCAGGCCCAGACCCCCGACGTAATGTTTTTTTCGTTACGTCGACCCCCAGAGGTCCCGACCCTGTCCCCATGACTGGCTTTGCATCCTGAGTCGTTTTTTGACGCTCCCGAGGCCCAGTGAGGGCCCCCGGAGGCCGAAAATTAGGAAAAACCTCCCGTCATGATTTTTTCATTACTCGAGGGGGTCTGGGGGGGATGGTCTTTCTTCCGACGCAGCGCCCAGGCAAGGAAAGGTCGCACGCCGGATCGGATCCCGGTCGTCCGGTGGTCACGGCACCGCAGTCTCCCGCGGGAGCGGGCGGTCACTGGAATCTGGGCGGGCGGGGCGAGAGCGCAGCGCTCCGCTGCAGCTCGGGGGGGCCTCCCTCCTCCTCCTCCTCCTCCTCCTCCTCCTCCTCCTCCTCCTCCTCCTCCTCCTCCTCCTCCTCCTCCTCCTCCTCCTCCTCGTGCCACCGCGCCGGCTCTGGCGAATGTCGACGCCAGGCGCGCACTGACGCTGCTCGGCGCGACAGAGGCGCCGACTTGCTGGGCGCTCGCTTCCGCGTCGCGTAGCTATGCGATCCAAGCCTTGTGGTGAAAACTCGATGTGGTGTACGCTATGTGGTGCAAGCTATGCGGTGCAAGCTACGGGGTGCACGTTATGTGCTGCAAGCTGTGCGGTGCAACACGTGTGATGCAAGCTGTGCGGTGCGAGCCTGCGTGGTGCAAGCTGTGTGGCTCAAGCTATGTGGTGAAAGCTATGGAGTGCAAGTTTTGTGGCACGTGCAGTGTAGAGCATTCTACGTGGCCGCCCAGAGCACCAGGCGTTCACGGGCGGCCCTGGGCGGGCACCAAGCGAAACATCGGCACACCCGCCCAGCGCACGAGGCGCCCACGAGGCGCCCACGAGGCGCCCACGAGGCGCCCACGAGGCGCCCACCAGGCGAAGCGCCGGCACGCCCACGAGGTGTCTACGAAGCGCCCACGGGGCGGGCACCAGGCGAAACCTCGGCGCAGCCACCCCACACGAGGCGCCCACGAGGCGCCCACGGGCGCCCGCCCACTGGGGACCAGGCGAAACCCGCGCACGCCCACCTCATCCCTTCGAGGGAGCCGAAGGAAGCACCCCAATGTGCAAACAAATGAGGGAAAGAAATAGACATTTCGATTCTGGACAATTAACACTCGACCCTCGACGACGACGACGACGACGACGACGGACGATGGACGACGACGGACGATGGATGACGACGGCCGACGGCGACACCTCGTGGAGAGCCAAACGAAAACGACTGAGCCGAGAGAGAGAGTCAGTGGGCTGCTCGGGGTCTCGGTGGGCCCTGCGACAAAAACGGCTGCGGGGGTGAAGAACATGGGGAGGAGAGCGAGGAGGAGAAAAAAACAAGTCTTTGGACGGCCCGCTTCCTGGAAAAAGGGGGAAGGGCGAGAAATGGGTTCCAGGGGCTGGCGACTCGAACAAACACGGATCGACTGATTCTTGGGGACAAAAGAAATGGTGAACAGAAGCATGGTGACAAAAATCAGGGGGAAACAGAAGAGCAAGAGGATTACATTCACGCAGGCATCCGGTCCAGATGGAAACGCATTCCCCAACCAGCGCTTGCACGCAAGTGGGTTCTTCGTTTGTTATCAGAAGCTGGTCTGGTGGGTTGGGGTCAATCCTTTGTCGCCCCCTTGGGGTCCACACGACGTGGCCTGTCGCCTGGTAGATGTGCGTTTTAATTTTACACACGCGCACACCAAATTCCACACACAGCGCTCCACGCACGGGGCGCCACATACAGAGGGTCCGCCTCATAGACGCGCACGTACGGTTCCACACGCACACACACAGACGGAAACACACAACACACATACACACAAACACACACACACACACACACACAAAAAAAAAACACACACACACACACAAACACACACGCACACACACACACACAAACACAAACACACAACACATATACATTCGTCGAACCCACCGTGTCTCATGCCGATGGCCACTGAACGCACGAACCGTGTTACCAGCCGCTGGGCTCGAATGGTTTGCAAGGCACATGGGAACGGCCTGAAGCATAAACGGTGTCCGCCGAGCCGCACACAGACGAACATCGATTCCATACGCTCACACAGGGGGTCCCACATGGGTCCATCAGCGCATGGGTCCACACAAGGCGTTTCACACACATGAGGCTCTACACGCATAAGGTTCGACAAACAAAACTCCATTCATACAAGTCCAGGAGCGGAAGGGGGGGCAGAGACACAAAAGATGTAAGAGGTGAATGCGACATGGAGAAGTACTTTGCTTGAGAGAAAAACAGAGGACAGCGGTGTCCAACGTGTCGAACCGGCACGCGCAATAATCACATAATGGCAATGGGCAGGCAGGAAGATAAGACAGAGGTGCCATTCGAGTCTGGTGCTCAAACGCGACTGCTGTGCACCATCGGTGGGCACATGCAGACAACGCGCCAACCAACGAGGCTCCATATAGAGTTGCATGGGCGCAGACAATTAGATGGATCATGCCGCATTCACTTGCATGCCCAACTTCCCTCTCGCCTGCTCATCAAGAACATAGTCCGTAGAATCAGCCCACTCACTCGCATGCTTTATTAAGCCGCGTTCGCAAACATTGTCCGCGACGTGCGAGCGTCTGGATCATCCCTTGCCATCGCTGGGGACGCGAGCTGCGATGACATAGTTATTGCGAGCCGATGCCCGCGATATTGAACGAACTGGTGACCTCATCATTATGGTCGTCCTTGTCCTTGGTGGCACTGCTATGCTGGGAGCTGGGCGTAAGCTGCCTGCGTTGTTCCTCGCTCAGCCTGACGGCGTCGTGGTATTACCTGAGCTGGCCGCTCACGATGTCCAGAAACAGCTCTCGGCCGATGCTCCACTCGGTCACGGGGTCGGCCCTCACGTCGAGGTTGTCGCACCAAAGAATGTCCTCAATCTGCCTTGTGCGGATTTGAGCTGACACCCGCCACAAATCTCATACCCACCATTCATATCTGGCCATGCTTCTCTCGGACGGCGGCCAAACCAGATCCACGGCCACTGCCGCGATGACGGACGCGCCTCCCACGACCAGCGTTGCAGGCATTGCGTAGCCTCGTTTTTTCCTCAGCCTCTGGACCTCTTCCGATGAGACGGGCCCGTTGGTCGTCTCGTGGAACGCGAAGAGGCACGTCGGCGAGCCGTCGGCTGCTCCGCAGGCTGCGAGCAACTCCGAGCCGAATCAAGATCTGCACACCAGCTTGCGCGATCGGCTGACGGCGTCGAGCGCGTGGCAAACTTGCTTACCAGTGCTGCGGAACTTACCCAGGGCCGTAACCTGTCTCTTCCACTCTCTTGATAGACCCGTCGCCGCGCGCAGAGTTGGTCGGCAAATACCATTGGCGGAGACGCGACGCGCGCCTTGATCTTCTGCGTGGCCCCCAAAAAAGAGTTGAATTACCTCGCAAGGCGGATGAGCAGCTTGTTCTCGGCCCTCTGCAGCGCGACAACGTACGCGGCGGCGCGGTGCTGGGCGAGCAGAGCGCAGGCTGCTGCTCCCAGGATTGACACGAAAAGGTCTGGAAGCTGACCTCCTGCGGGCTCGTCGATCTTCGCCTTGACCAGGTCGATGTGTCTGATCGGTATCAGGGCTTCCCTGTGCTCGTCCTGGTCGAGCGTCACTGTTCCATCGGCGCTGCGCTGTTGATGTATTCCGGAAGTGCGAATTCGTCGCAGTCGCCTTCACCATACCAATGACGCTCTCGATATGGCCGATCAATCGGTCAACGTGCCCCCTTTGCGCAGCGGTCTTCACGTCGTCAACGCGCATGGACGGCATGAGCAGCAGCTTCGAGTCGCTGCCACCATGCGCAATGGAGGCCTCGCGCTTGACCTCGAGCTCCGGGCCCCATCTGGCAGGCTTGATGCTGCGCTCTGGCGAGCGCGTGACCTGGGCGAACTTCATAGCGATGGCTCGGGGCGCGTCTTCGCAGCCCGCGCCCTGCTCGATACTGCGAGGGCGCTCGACCCGCTCGGCACCCGCCCAAGGTTGGCTGCGCCGCCGGGCCAGCAAGGCGGCAGAGTCAAGTCCACCTCGCGCGGCGCGTCATCTTGCTCCTGCATCTCGGCGCAGGTCGCGCCACGCAGGAAGGCCTCCTCGACGCCCACGGCGGCGCAGGCCCAGCCCCGGCGACGCGCTGCCTCTGCGGAAAGCACGCGCTGCGACGCGCGATTCGCTGCCCCCGCGGACGTCTCCAGCCGCCAGCGCCCATGTCGCGGATGCATCGGAGCGCCATGCGGCGCCCGATAATCCACGCGGTCTTGCCGTCGGGCGCCTTCCGGCGCTTCAACTCGACAGCGCTTCTGAAGCCCATGAGGTTGCTGGCCGCCTCTCGGAACGCCTGCACTTGACCAGGATGGCGAGGTCCTCGAGGACGTCTGCAACCTCGACGCACTTCCTCGATGGTCAGGAGGTCGAAGTCGCGCGCGTCGACCGGGGTCTTGACGGCGCCATAAACGTTGAGCACGGCTGCCCGGGAATCGCCGGCGACATAGTTGCTGGGCGCTTCTTCGCTGAAGCAAAGGAATGCTTCGAGCGCCCCTGGGTCGAGGCGCAACTCCACGTCTTCCTCCTTCATCCTCCTCCAGCGGGGAATTGTCCTCCAGGGCGGCGCCGCGCAGGTAGTAGTGGCGCCGCGCGTGCATGCCCGACGCTGGCGCTGCGTCTCGAGGCGCGGGGACCACTCGCGCGGCTGGCCGCCCAGTCTGGCCGCAGCGTGCCCGAGGGCAGCGTAGATATGATGCCAGCTGCAGTCGCGCTCCAGCCCCTCCAGCTCGTGGGCCAGATGTTCTGCCCCTTCGACTTCGCGCAAGCTGCCGACATCGCCTGC